AGACAGGTCTACTTAATGCATGCCCTAAATAGACAGAAGTCATTGCATCTTGTTCTTTCCTTGTCTTTATTTGATATGACAAAATATAGTTTCAGGAAGGACCTGGAGTCAATAAATAGTTGGGCGACTGCAATGGAGCAGGAGGGTGAGAAAGTCATGGCAAGATATATAAGACAGCAAAAAGCCTGAAGAACCACTTGCTGGGGTCCAAAGGCAAGAGACCCCAATAGTTGAGCTAGGTAGCAGGCTGGGGCTGTGAACCTGAGTGCATGCAGCAGGCCACGCTGGGGAGGCTCCCAGGCTTTGGGGGAAAGGATTAGAAGGTCTGGAGAGCATGAGACAACCTCCAGGTCTACAGGCCCACTTTCACTCATCTCCCTCTTTCATATGCAAATCATTAATAAGTAAAGACGAGTTTAGAAGCTATAAAGGTTAGTTGCTATTGGAAAGTATCCCGAGTCTGGTCATACCCTCTGCCTGGTACAACCAGCATTTAGCAGCCTGGCCACCTTAGGCAGGAACAAAGAGGGTGAGGTGGAGGTCGGGACTAAGGGGTTGAGGCTGGTCTGTCTCACCTTAACTCAGGCTGGCCTAGCTCTGGCTAGGAGAGCGAGAGAGGCAGCCCAGGTTGAGGCTCATCCAGCACCGGCCCGCCCGCCTGTACACCGCAGCTCTGTGGGCAAACCCTATAAGAGTGTATCCTGGGTCTGGGGTGCTCAACTGAGTTGAGGCGAGATGGGCAGTGCAGGCGGTCCTGCGGAACCCTGGGTCGATGGGGATTAGGAATGCCAAGGAAATGAGCTTTTGTCTTGGAGGCCTGGGGCCAGTGCTCCAGCCTCCACCCCAAAATCTAGAACGAAGAAAACCGAAAAGGAAGGGTGCAGGGACCAAAGCCGACTGGGGTGCTCTCTGCGGGCTCCCCGCTTTCCTCTAAAGAGCCTCTTTGCTCTTCATTTTGGAATCTTTCTTCCACTTCATCCTGCGGTTCTGGAACCAGATCTTGATCTGTCTCTCGTTGAGACACAAGTTGTTGGCGATTTCTATGCGCCTGCGGCGAGTGAGGTAGCGGTTAAAGTGGAATTCTTTCTCGAGTTCCAGGGTCTGGTAGCGCGTGTAACTGGTTCGGGACCGCTTGCCGTCCGTCTCTGGAACATAAATCCCCCCAGCCAGGAAGGGGTGAATACCATGCAGCACCTCATCGTCCCACCCCTGTCCCAGGCCCCCACCCGTGGTCGGAGAGAGTGGAGGTGAGCGCGGTGGGACAGGCCAGAAGGGCCGCAGGCAAGCAGGCCCGACCCCGGGAGAAGCGCCTCCGCCTGGGCAGGAAACTTTCCACCGTTGCCTTCACTCTGCGGGCCGGAGGGGCTGAGGGGGGATGGGGGGAAGAGGGAGACCCAGGCTCGGACCGAACAATAAGCACCCTCGAGATCCGAGCACCGGGGACCCCCCTCCCGCCCCTCCCGAGTCGCTGGAATCCTCCGGAGCCGCGAGCACCAGCCGAGCGGGCTCCGCAGGGGAGGGAGGGAGCCCGCGGGGGGATCCCCACTCTGGAGCCCCGTGCTCCTCACCCTTTAGATCCCTCTATTTTTTTAACTCCCTCCCTCTCCCCCAAAAATTGAATATTGCCTTTTATACACGTTTTGTTCCTATGATCCAATTATGTCGTCGTAAATTTGGGCGCACACAGCCTCTAAGCCTTTTAGTGGACAGTTTTACGAGCCATTGATGCCTGGATCGTAAAATTTATGGCCGCAGGTTTTTTTTCTTTATTTGCCCCGCATGGCCTATAAAACCCAGGCGGACCCGAGCGCGCAAAATGAAGTCCTAAAGTTTACCGTGGCTCATGTGCAGTTTGGTCATCCACGGGTAAATCTGTGGCGGGGCCGGTGGCTGGCTCAGTCCGGCGGGTTGCCCTGTCTGCGCCTGCTCCTCTTTGATCTCCCCACTGCTCTTAGCTCGCTCCTCCAGCGCTGGGCGAGCCGCCTTCTGACTGTACATCCCGGGGTTCAGAGGAGCCGCTTCGTCTCTGCCCAGAGCGTGTCCCGGAGCGGCTGCGGCGCTGCAGGCGGGGCGGTCGGGGTGAGCCCTGGGGTTGGCAGCCATGTCTACCCCGTGGAGAGAGTTGGAAGGCGCAGGCGGTGGGAAAGTGATGCTTAAGTCCAATCCGCCGTAGCAGTACCTGGATGCCTGCACCTCTGAGGCCGATCCATAGTTCCCACAAGTTTGCATGTTATAGGCAGGGATATTGGGGCTCTGCTTATAGAATGAATTGGCTACGTAGGAGCTCATGGCGGGGTGGGCCCAAAAAAATTTCTGCACCCTTTTTGATTAAGGGTGATTTGTGACTCTTTGAAGTTGAGGGGGTTTTTGTTCTCCAAAGTGCACAATTTATAGGTGGAGATATCTCTTTCTTTATCCTATGCGCTCTTCCCAAATAAGGGAGCCTTAAATAGAGTCACGTGACTAGAGCGGCCACTCATAAATTTGGCTTGATGACCTCCGGGAGGTTAGTGATGGAAGCAGGCGAAACGCATCTTGATATGTTGGCAAAGCCCAACCCGGGGATTGGGGGGGGGGGGAGGACTGAGAGAGAAAGAGAGGCAAGGGGGAGAAAAAAAAATGGTTCTTGGAATTGGGGGGTAGTCGGGACAACGAGCTCACAGCGACACCTGGTGTCAACTTGGAGGAATTGCATCCTGAAGCATAGCTTGGCCTTCTAGTAGCTGGATTGTTGAGAAGTTGCTTGTTGGACAAACTAACCCTTGACCTGACCTTAAAATTCTGTCTAAATTTGAGAAAAGATGAGGAATTATTAAGGATTTACACAGGTCGTTTTTATAATGGAAAGTGCCAGTTCCCTACCTCCAGAGCCTTCCAAACTTCAAAGATGACAGAGAAAGGGGGTTGGGGTAGCTAAAGTCCAAACTAGAGAACCAACAGGGTGGGCATACTTAAGTTACCTAAACTAAATATCAAGGCCTCTCGCTTGGGAGGGTTGGACTCAGCTCTGCTGAAGAGCTGCTTGTCTTGTCTGCTTGGAAAAAAACGAACTCAACCTCTGGGAGGTAGGCAAGTTACCCAAGAGGAGGGAGGGTTCCTAAGTGGGCATATGCAGGCAAAGAAGTCCTGAGGCGAGTCCTGGGGACTCTCTGGGATGTGACTGGAGGGGCCAGATGGACTTCGGTTACTTTACTAAGTTAGGAGCTCTAGAGGGACAAGAGGCAACATTCACATGAGTGTAACAAGACACAATGGTCTAGAGGACCCTCCTACATTATGTGTGATCCTCCTGGGGTATTGATGCCCAAATTTCAGATAGCAAATAGAGGACCCTCCAGGGCATGGAGAGGCAATATTCAAACCTCCACAGATATTATGATTAAGGCAGAGATAATGGCCTGCTTGCACTCTTTTGGGGGTAGGCCCTTAGACAAGGCTTCTCAGCAACCTCAATCTAGAAGGTCCATAGAACATTTTCTGGACTCTTCAGAGTTATTGGGATGGGGTGGGGAGGCCAGGAGACTGGGCAACCTAGACAGTCTTTGGCCAGGGTTTCTTCAACCTTTGGGTCCTTTTCCCCTGCTTTCTTAGTCCCAAAACCTACTGTTTGCTGTCTGCCTTTCTTTAGGATCTCTCCGCCTCTGCCTCTACCAGAAGTCCCCCTCCCCGCTGGTGGAGGCTCTGGAGGAAGGGGGGCGGCAGTGGCAGGGATCTGGAGAGTCTGGGAAACTCGGGAGGAATTTTTCCCCCTGCGGGAGACCTCCCACCCCACTTCTCCCCTAGGCCCACTCAGGTTTCCCTGGCGAGGCCTGAGGAAAGAAGGCTGGAGCCTAGAAACAGTTAGGGTCCTCCTGCTCCCCTTACACATTTGATTTGAGGAAAATAGATGCAAGAACAAGGCAAGCTAGGACTGTAAGAAAGAAGAATTTTGTCTGGCATGTTAGCAGTCCCAGCGCGGCCCAGAGCTTAGTTTCCAGTCTTTCTCTTAGAGATGTCCTTGGATCGCTCAGTCCTTGCGGACCAACTCAAATCCCGCCGTCCTTGGGTTGCCAGGGCGCTTCAGCCACGTTTCGCAACAGCCAGCCGGCCTGGCGGGCCGGGGGGCTTGCTCTTTCTCCGGACACTGCTGGAAGTGGGCGCACAGTGGTGGGGGAGATGACGCTGGTGCTCGGATCAGGCTTCTTTTCTCTCTTTTTGGGCTCAGAAGCAGAGGATTCCAGGCTTCTACAGGCAGGAAGAAAGGCCCGCGTGGGGCTTGCAGCCCAACCGGGCTCACTCAGGCTTCCCCGCCCCCAGCGAAAGTCCAAGCGGCCCTTTTTCCTCCTTTTCTTTTCCGGGGTGTGTGTTGCTCCGCGTAGGGGAGGTCCCAGAGGTCTCTCAGCACCCCAGCAAGGTCAGGAGAACCCAGAGACCGAGGGTCGGCGCCCGGCTGGGCTGCGGGGCAGGCGAGTGAGGAGGGCTGGGGGGCTTGCAGGCAGCAGGCCGCGCTCTGCTGCAGGCCAGCAGGCGGGGAATGAACAGACAGGCGGATTATAAACTTTTAAAAATAATATCAGTTTTATTAAATATTCGAGAACGGATCCAGAGGTCGGATTTATACAGAAGGATAACACGAGGGGGGGGTATTTTTTTCTTTATTTATTTTCTCCTACTGGCTAAACAACCGTCATTCACTTTTTTTCCTCTTTTTTGTTATTTTTCCCTCTTTTTTTAATTCTTTTTAAAATGAACTCGGAACACTGACGGAGCTAAACATAAATATAAATACAGAAACCACAAATACAGCTAGAAATATTCACACAGAAACGGTCACAGTTCGTAATATGCCATAATGACCCCCAGGAATCTTTAAATACAATTTGCCTGAACTGGGCATTTGCTAGGGCAGAGGGGCCGGGCAGGGACTGGGGAGAAGTCGGGGCGGGGTGGGGGTGTTGTGGGGCCAAGGCGCGCCCTCCTGAGGCCTCCCGCCCTCGGCTGCCAGGCCGGGCCCTGAGGCCCTGAAGTGAAGGCCCCAGGCCCGGTAGCCGGCTCTCTGCGCGGGGGCGGGGGTTAAGGGCGTCTGGGGTGGGGAGGGAGCCTAGTGCTCACTTGGAGGGACAACAGTAGAGTCTGAAGCGAGGTTCAGGGACCTCGACCCGGAAGCTTGGGCGAGGGAAGGGGCCTGCAGACAAGCCGAGAAGGAGCTAGAGGGAACTAGAGGAGGAGGCTGATGAAGAGTTGTGCAGTGGTGATGGGGGGGGGGGGGTATCCAGAGCTGACTTTCAGGTCCAAGTCTGACTCCCTATTTTGTTTTAGGAAGTCACAACACATCAATTGTGCCAGTGATAAATATAGAGTGTGTGACTCGGGGAGCTGGGTGAGCAAGGGAGGAGAGAGGGGTGGAAGGGCAGTCCTGGTCACTCTTTCTGCTTCTCCTCTTCTGTGTCTTCCCGCTTTTCCTCTTTTCCGCCCAGGCTGTCGGCAGCTGCCCCTCCGCCGCCCCCCGAAAGCGTGGACGTGAGATTAGATTCTTTTTTCCACTTCATCCGGCGGTTCTGGAACCAGATTTTGATCTGTCGCTCGGTCAGGCACAGAGCATTAGCGATCTCGATGCGCCGGCGCCGGGTTAGGTAGCGGTTGAAGTGAAATTCCTTCTCCAGTTCCAGGGTCTGGTACCGAGAGTAGATCTGGCGGCCGCGCCTCCGGTCCGCTCCGTAACCGACCCCTAGAGATCCGGGCACAAAACACACTAAAAACAATCAGCAAGACGTCCTCTGAAGACATTTTCACCTAGCCAAGTCCAGACCCTCTCAGCTTGGCCCATAGCTCGAGGCCCCATCGAACTCTAGCCTTCTCGCTTTTGCTCTGCCCCACCCCCACTGGGGGTACAGCCAGGACCCCAATTCCATTCAGTCTTCCCACGAGGTGGGAGATGTGTGTCCCAAAGAAAGCTGGGGGCGGGGCAAAAAATAGAAAGCTGGGCATCTAAAAGCTGATTTAAAAAAAAAAAAATCCCAACTGCTGGGGATAAGGGCCCCATCTCTCAAGGACTGTGTTCCCCCACCTTTCCCAACATCCTAGTTCGCTGCAAAGTTTTCCCCACTCCTCTGACCTCTCCTAACTCCCTCCCTTTTTTCCAGCCTAACTAGACTTTGGGGGGTTCCCCCACCTCCTGTCCCCTCCCCTCATTCCCCTGCCCTGTTCCTGCCCCCTCAGCTCTTCTTGGAGCCCTCCAATCCGTCAGGGACCGAGGGGGCCAGGCCCCAGCGAGCCAGCGCGGGAGGTGAGCAGAGGGGGCTGAAGAGGGGGCCCTGTCTCGGTGTCGGCGAGGAGACGAGCATGATTGTTTTTATGGGGCCATAAAAAACTCTCTCCGCCCGTTCTTCTAGGGAAGCCGGTCATAAAGCCAGTTCAGTTTATTTAATTTATATCTCGGAGCTGTAAAACTCACCACTGTGCGAATTCATTCGCTGCATCCAGGGGTAAATCTGGATACTGGCTTTCTGGTCCTGGGGCGCAGTCCTGCCCTGCTCAGAACTAAAATCCTGAGCGATTGAGGTCTGTGTGTTATGTCCTAAGGTGTTTTGTCTGCAGTTTGAGAGCATGTCTTTCTCCTGGTAAAAGGAATTAGATCCATAGTCATACGGCCCCCGGCTGGAACTGAACACGACATTCTCCTGTGGCGAATAAAAGGGAGTCGAGTAGATCCGGTTCTGAGCTACGGCTGCTCCATAGGTCGAGAAATGCCTCACTGGATCATAGGCGGTGGAATTGAGGGCGACGTTGGGGAGGACGTCCTGGCCCCCGGCGAGGTGGCAGGATAAGGAAGGGTTAGTGAAGTAGGAATTCATCCCTTTGCCTTTACCTGGTCGGGCTATGATTTCTTTAATATTTATTTCTGTCTCCAGTTTGTACTCGGAACTAGATGGTTATAGGGACGGCTCCAATCCAGGACAGACAAAATGACAAAGTCAGCTGACCCCCTTCCAGCCAATCGCAAGCCAGATGTCAAGAAGGGGGAAAAAAATCGTTTCTGCCTCTGTTGATTCCCTAGTTGAGACTAAGTGTGTGCTTTGAAAGTAAGACTTGGTTTCTTTTAAGAATATATATGTAAGGGAACTGGGGGGGGGGGTGCAGGTCCATGGGCAGGGTCTTGTACACCGCGGAAGGAAGGGTCTAGTCCCAGGAAATCTCTCCGCCCCTGCTAACTTTATTGTGCTGTGGCCAAATGCAGGGCGAGTGAAATCCTTGCGTTTTCAGTCGGATTTCATCTTTAGTATTTGCTCCTTTTCTAAAATTACATCCTGATTGCTTCATTTGAGGTAACCCTTCCCAGTGGAAGGAAGTTCCCAGAAATTCTACAAGACATTCTGGCCTGACACCTAATGAAGTGAGTCCCCATCACTAGACAGCATATTTTGCCAATAATTAGAAAAATCAAAAAGAAAGGGAAATTTCCTGAAACATGGTGCACTCGGTGCAGTGTAGCTAAGTGTCTTGGCTTAGAGGATGTGTTGATGTAAAGGGCAACAAGTCCATCTAAAGGGTGAGTATGAGACCATGGGGTACAGTGGAGATCCTAGAGTAAGCATCTGCACTCTTTTGCCTCTTAGCCTACTGCTGTTCCCCAGAACCTCGCTTTGGGGGGAAATTCTTGCAGCATTTTTGCTTTTTAAAAAAAGCATGTGTAATAATACATTAGGGGAGAGAGAGGGGGGAGAGAGAGAGAGAGACTCTGAGATTCTTTCTAAAGACATCAACTCCTGTTTATGTTGGTGAGAACTTATGATTTGGAACCAGCTCAGGCCAGTGGGGTACCACATAGGCTTCAGCCTGAAAGACAAAACTGGTGCTACTCCAATTAACAGTTACCTTCCCACAGGCTCAAGCCTCTGTGCAGGTCAGAGGCTCTGGATTTACTGCCCTGTGGAGAGTGGTGCCCCTGGACCTGAGCTGTAATGCTAGAAGTCCTAGGAAAGGATTCCTAAGGAGTTCTTGGGCTCTCACCCAGACAGTCACCTCTGGATTCTCAGCAGCCCTGACCTCCATTTTCTCCCCCACCTTGAGGCTGAGAAAAGGGAGAAGATTAGAGCGGTTTTGTAGAGGCTTCAGCGAGCTGTACTAGGTGAACCAAAACAGCAGAAGGTGTGCAGTTGGGGTTTCCCTCTGATTAAATCAAACTGAATTTGATATCAACATAGCCTGGAAATATTTGGAGCTGACAAAGAGGATGGAGAGGTACAAGCAGGAAGCAGCTCATATTTTCCCCTCACTAATTTTTTCTTGAGACTGACTATAACAAGAACCCGGATGTCGCCGGGTTTTATGATCTTTTCCTTCTGTGTAACAAAGCGGAGTAATCAATGGGTAGCAATAAAGCCATAAACAGGACTATGCTGGGAAAAAACTCGTTTATTCATCTTTAGCAACGTTAAGGTTTCCCTGGAGTGTCACTAGGGGGTGTGTTGGGGGGGATAAAGTTTAGAACCCAAAAGCAGACAGTGTGTAGGAGCTAGTGCTGACAAAATGTTAGTTAACACATGAACCTCTTTAGGGGATTGAGTCTTCCTGCCAGACAATTTGTGTTGGCTTTTAAAAATCCAGCCCCTGCTTTTGAAAAAGGAGGGAAACTGGCTGGAATTTAGGAGAGTAGAAGAAAGATCCCTGTAATTGTGGAAGTTTCTACCCCTTGGACTATACTATTTTCTTTCCAAGATGAAGGGGGCAGAGGAGGAGGCTTCCAATAAGAGATTTAAAAAAGTTATCTCATCTGGGGGTAACATGGCAGTTACTCCCCCAAACACAGACACCAGTATGTAGAGTTTTGCTTTCCAATCCATCTGTACTTGAATTCATGGCGTGCCTGGGCAGAGGTTCCCAACAGCTGGCTGGGGCTCCAGTCCCCCTGGAGGGCAAAAGGTAGGGGGAGAGCTCACTGAGGGGAGGGTATCCTGTTGGCTGAGCTAGGGAACAAGTCAGTGCACCCCAGGACACCAGTAGCCTCTCTCAAAGTTTCCAGCCTCCTGTCTGCCCTGGGGGTAGCATAGCGGTGGTGTAACAAGTAGAAGCCCAGGCAAGAAAAGAGTAAATCCCCCCCCCCATTTCAGAATGAGATTGCTAGAGGGATAAATCATGTCAGTGGTACTTCCTTCAAGATATTAAATTGTTGCAATGTAAAACAAATTGAATGATGGAAGATAGGATGTCTTAATGAAGTTTGCTTTCCATGAGTGTGGATTTTTGTGTATTTTAAAATCTCTTTTATGAGTGTGTGGGGAAGGGAGGGACCTTAAAAGAAAAAAAAGGGGCTTTTGAGGGAACCATGTGCTACAGCCCCCTAACAAGGATGCCTGAGTTTCCTGGAGCATCTCTCTCAATCATATCCAGAGATAAAAGGGACTCCAAAGTTGGGGAGATTCTCTTTTGGGGCCTAAAGGTGGTAGACTCAGGGGTGGGCGACTTGAGGAACAGAATGTAAGTCTCAGGCCCGGAAAAGTTAAGTGTTTTATTACGTCCCTAAACAGAGGGCAGGGACTGAAAGGTCTCACCGATTTATAATGAACAGAAACCAGCTGCTGGGGTGGGGGCAGAAACGCTGGAAGGGGGAGGCCAGGGGAAGCAGAAACACAAATGTCTTCTCACTACTGCAAGACTTTGGGGGAAATTAACTTCCAGAACACTCTCCTGCATCCCTTTCTACCCCTAAAGGGGGAAGATCTCATTTCTTTTAGTTAGTCCTCTAATTATGCAGCTGAAATTTACTGGGAGGATTCACTCCAAGGGGAGAACAGGTCAGATGAGTTGGATCTTCCCTCCATTGGATAATATTTTTTCCTTTTCCCATCTTGTACTCTTTCCTCCCTTGGCAAAAGACTGGCTGTCTATGGGGGAGGGGCTGGGACTTGAATTTTTCTAAATATATTTATATTTTCCTGTTAAATTTGTCTGAAAACAATTATGGGAGCTCATCAGCAGAAGCAAGAACAGATGTTTTATTAAAACTGCAATGCAGCTCTGTAAATATGCACAAGTCTTGGGAAGGAGGGAGGCTCCGTTCTTTGTTTCCATCAAAACAAGCCTAGAGAAATCAGAGACACCCCCCCCCCCATAATCAGGCGGGCTTGGTCTATGCAGTGCCCTGGGCCTTCGGCCTTCTGAATTAGGCACTGAGAGGAGACTCGGTGTCAAGAGCAGATTTTCGCTTTGGGAGCTATAATTACTGGATTCAAAAACAATCTAAAAATCTGAGAAAAGGAATATAGGGGGAAAGTTGCCACTCGCCTTTCCAGTCACCCCCCCCCCCAAGCATCCAAAACACATGCCTTCCAGGAGCACTAATTATAGGAGAGGAATTTACTGCCTGCTTCTTGGGCCTGAGTGGGTGTAATCACTGGCCTGGAGGCTTAAGGGCTACACTGGAGTTTGGGCATTTAGGGGTTTCCCCGAATTTCAGTCTTGCCGAGTCTAAGCCAGTAGAAGGCTGGAGGCTCCCTATGGCTCTGAACTGGTGGGGGGGGAATGAGGGGAGACTGGACTCCAGCTTCTAGGATGATGTCATGGGCGGGACTCACCTTGCCTGCCTTTGCTTTCTTCTCTGCTCTGGCCAAAAAAAAAAAAAAAAAAAAAAAAAAAAAGGGTAATTTCGTGATTTCGTGTGTATACAGACATTTGAAATGAGCCTGGTGAGATCTGAAATTTTTATTTGGGGATATTCTTCGGGGAATGTCCTCCTTTGTGTTCTGCTGGTCTCCTTTCTCCCTAGATCCCCCCCACCTCTGAGAAGATCTTTGTGACTGACTCCAGCACAGACGCACGTACTCCATTCCTGGCTGCCGAGGCCAACTACAGCTCACTCCAACGCTGGAGCCAGAGCCGCGGAACTCCAAGCTCCCTCGCCTGCCTGGGCTCTTGGCAGCCTAAAAGATACCGCAGCTGCAGGACTCTGCCCCTCCACCACCTCTAGTTCTTGATTTCCAGCGACACAGAACTGTTACCCCTGTTGGCCCCTTTTGTGCCACTGGGCGGGAGCTGAAATCCCTCTTGCCGAGAAAGCTGAGTTCAATAATTGTTCAGCTCACCTCACAATCGCACTGTTTGGTTAAGGCTTTGCTGTTCTAGAGTTCAGCTAGCTCTACCGGCTTATAGCTAAATTAAAAAAAAAAAACTTAAAAAAAATAAGCCTATTCCAAATGTCTGGTGTTTTATGAACAAGCCTCTTTGATCTCCATGGACCTCGGAGATAAAGAATTGCAAAGAGAGCGGTTCAAGCCGCCAAAGAACCTGAACAAGGTCTGGTCTGCTTGGGAATGCCAGAGCACAGCTCACCCAAGGGGCTCCCAGTTTTTGCTAGACATGGTAGGGAAAGATTTCCTAATATATACACCCTCTGTACATACAGTGCATTCCAAAAAAAACGAATGCTCCTTTTAAAAGTCAAGCTTAGACACACTGGAAGAAAAATGAAATTTGACACACCCAACTCGGAAATAGATCCAATTTGTGGGTACTTGATATTTGGTGACAAGGCTCAGGCTGACCAGATGAAGGGAGCTGGGTGGTAAAGAAGGAGAGAAAGAGAAAAGGACCAGAAAGGGGATGTTCAGCTGCTGAGAACTGGCCTAAATAGTTCTCAGGCCTGTGCTGTGATTACTTCTTTTAAGCTAAGAGGTTCAGAGCCTACTGTAGCTGATTGTATCTTTACTGCAATTCAGAACTGGAGAAAGGTACACAGAGCGGCTCTGCTAAATGATGGCATGTTTTCTCTCCTTCCTCTGTTTTTGTGACTCTCTGCCAGACCTTTCCTAACTACCCTTCAGTTACTGCTACTACCATCAGCAGACACAAAAACCCCACTTTTGCATGTCTGGTTTCTCCAACACTGGCTTAAAATTAAAAAATAAAACAGATTCTATCACACTTTGCTCTGAGACCCCTTCAAGCTTCATCCAGAAAAAAATAATTTCTGGCTTTTGGAGGCCAGGCCCTCAAGCCTTCCACCTTGACACCATAGCACCAGAAATAGCAAGCTAGGAGTGGGCTTGTGGAGAGCATCTCATCCCTACTAAGAATGGAGAGTTCAGTTGCCTTGGGACATTTCAGGAGGGCAAAGCAGGTGGCCCTATTTGGACTGGAATTACAAGTCAAGAACTAGAATATTTAGGGTACTCTGCATTGCCCAAATAGAGCCCAGGGAGACTGTCAGGTGAGGAAGGAAGACAACAAGGAGTGAACGTGAACTGTTCAATGTCAGTCCAAAGGAGCCCCCAGCTCTCTGGTTTCTCCTGTGCTTCTCAATGCAGAGCCTTAGTTGGGACCAATTTGGAAGTTAATGAGAATTTAAGATTGGAGAACTTGGTATTTATGATATCACAGTTAGTTGTCATATGGAAATTGTGAAAGTCATAAAAGTATGGCAAGAGTTGTATCTATGAACACCAAGTCTCCTCTCACCCCCTCCCTCTTCTTCTGGTCTAACTCCTCCCATTTGGAAATAAAATATTATTATGTTGTAGAACAATA